TCTTTAAAAACGGCATAAAATAGGTAGTTGTCCCCAGACATATCTAGTCACAAAAGCCTCTTTTTGTGGAGGATTTCATGGGCCTGAGCTCTAGGGAACACACTGAGAAATGCAAGGTCTGGAATGAACTCAAGAAGCAGATCGATCTCTTAGGCCCCCGTCATCTTCATTGATCCTCCGATGGCCTGGACGCTTTGGAGCCCTTCCGAATCGAGGAGAATGGCCTTCAGCAACCCCTGATCCACACACCACACACACTCACACTCTCAGCATGAGCAGGCACGCCTTAGTAAATGCATAGTTCATTCATTTTGATTCTGGTCTCTTGGGATCCTGACCAAGGTTTGGCCACACCAGCATTATTTGGGACAGGTTGAAGGGGAGCATTGTATTTTCAGTGGACTAGCAATAATGGGGCTTCATTACCTTTTATTTCTGACATCTGAGTTGGTTCCTGGCCCCCTCTTGAACTTGGAGAGCACTGAGGTTGGCTACTTGCCCGTTCACCTGCTTCACAAATCTCAGATTCCTCTCTTTTTATGAGCCTGCCCTAAAATGATCCTCTTCAAAAGAACAGCCCGTTCTTGAAGAGTGATTAAACTCATCCTCCTAGGCTCTCAGGCTGCGTGCCACCACGGTCCAGTCTGGGCTCTTTGTGAATGTTTCTGTGGTGGCAGAGAATGTTTTATTTTCTCGTTGAAAAACTAGCTACAGCAAAGTTATGCACAAATATGCAGTCTGTCTAAATAGCTTGCACAAGGAGACGCATGGAAGACAGCCACCGTGGCCACAGGAGGAACACAGCATTGGGAGTCAGAGAGCCTGTCGCCAGATTCAGACTCTGCCACTGAGTAGCTGCATGATTTTTGTCACCTCACTCAATCTCCCTGAGAATCCTCTTTCCAATGGGGATTAAGTGTTGGGAGGAGCAACTGAGGTGACAGATGTGAGAATACCTGGCCTGTACACATGCTGTGACTCTTGGCTCATTCACCAGCCAGGGTTCAAAATTTTGTGTGATAAAATCTTGGCTCCATCACCTGTGTGATTGTAGGAACTCGATTATCCTCTGTAAACTCTGGTTTTCATGTTTGTTATATGACGGGACCAGGAGGGCCTAAATCTTCAGTGATTGTGGAAATTAAGGGAGGGGTATCTGGAAAGGGAGTAGAAAGCTCATAGAAAGTACGATATGGATGACATTCAATATATATTAGTTGTTGTTGCTGTGGCTGCTGCTGCTGTTATTTTATGTTCAAATGATATAGTCACGTAAACTTAGTAGGCGTCATTTGTAGGACTTCAGAAAAGACAGACCATTGGCAAAGGCTGGGGGGACGACGTCTGCAGGGAATGCTGTGCATAAAGGCATTTATTCAAGAAGCAAATGATTACAGGAGGAGGGGAGGCTCCTCCAAGCGACTCCCTTCTCAAGAATGAGGACTGTATTCTCTTATAATCTCTCTATTACCACTT